TGTAAATTGTCACATAGTTATTTAACCTTTAGGGCCCTACGCGGAATATTACGCGATCTAGTATAGCAACAAAAGAGGGGCGTTAGCTTGAAGTTCAAATATTTTCTAACCTCAAATTGCTTACCTGATTAATTGTCGATCAATTTGATATGGTTAACAGTTATCTAACGTGACTTCACGACAATATGTTTTATTATTTTGTATGAATTATTGACGTAACCAAACCAACAACAGTGAAAAGAACTGCATTCAGCTCAGTATAAATGTAGAGTTTTACAAACATTTTATGGCAGTTCGGCAACAAAGGCTGGATACATGCAAAGCCATCTATGAGCAAATCGCCTAACCAAGGTGTGCTTTTTTTATGTTGAGCAACAAACTCAACAACAACTTTGTTGTTTAGCATCAGAATGCGTAAGACGCGACTAGTTTCTCTGGTATCATATCAATACGCGATGATATAATAAAAAATTTACGATCGGCTTCCCCACTATAATGCAGATTAATTTCAAGGTCAATGAAGTCGATCAATGGATATAAAGTTATTCCATAGTCTATAGAAATTACAAATCGCCATTTTGCGGTGGCTGCCATATTGGATTTAGGCCCAATTTCACCAACAACAGTCCGTTATTCTCCACCTATGGTAACAGACCGTTAGATACAGCGAATGAGCTTCAAGTTCCAATCAACAAATTTTAGCAACCAATAGCTATGAAATGTTGAAAACAAAATACTGTCAAAGTATGAGATGACAACTTGTCATTGAAACATCACCAGCTTATTGAATTTTAAGAAATTACATATAATTCAGTCAAAATTTTAAGAAATGTTTGATTTTTGAATTAGATTCATGTTTGTATTATTTTCTTCAATTGATATGTGATACTGGGTGTTTTTTCCTATAAACCTCTTGCAGATAGCCATTAAGCACCTACTTGATGACAGGCTCTTCCAAAAGATATTGCTCGTTTCCAAACATTCATTCATTTACTTGCCGTTCATCAGAACCATTATGGCACCTTAGATTGATATTCCCACAAAACCATTCAGTTTTTTTGATATCCATACATCCATAACGTTAAATATTTTTCGTTGTTCAGAAACTGAACAAACATCCACACTATATTCACAGCGATTAATAAATTCCCAAATATACGCCTTAAAGCTACCATCAAGCCTAAAACCTGCAAAAAAAACTACAAATTTACCATATTTTTCTTTTTTCACAAGTACCCATTCTAGGTTATATTTATATTAGACATTATTTGAATACAGCTGATTATTGCATTTCAAGGAGTGACACATGTGTGGGATCTGTCAACTCTTGGTATCAGTCACAAAATATATTATACTCTGAAGGTTTAATTCCATGCTATTCAATGATAACACGTGACTTGTGTGGTTATCAGCGGCCATTTTGTGAGGGTGCGACAGGGTTGCCAGCTTGTGCATTAATATCCCGTTTCACTCTCCTGGTCCAGTGGAGTAAGTTCCGCCAACTGTTGAAATATACTCTACTATGCTTTACAAGACTATTCGTGACATTTTTCCCAAAATTATTGCACACTTGAAAAAATGCAAATGAAATTTTAAAATTATTTCCATGACGCCGCAAAATAGCCCCGTCGGTACCTTGGGTTATACATCTTGAGAGTAGGGATGTTCGATAGGATCCTATATTTAGAAGTATCAATACATTTCACGAGTATCGTCATCTTTCGATCCGGACTGTGTCAGAAAGAGTGACTGCCATTTGGCTGCGACATTACCCTGCCAAATGAGACATATCTTTCACCATTTTCAAAGAAATTGTACAAAATCTTCAAATTTGTGAAGTTAGCGAGTTTCACTTCATACGTTCTTACCAGACATGCCCAAATCATCAGTTGCTGCCATGATATTCATCCCGACCACTGCATCCCCACGGCTAGGCGACCTGTATGTTAAATTTGTATTGATAGGGCAGCGGGTTATGCTATAAATCATGTCACAGTGTTTGTGCACTGATTGCAACGGTTAGATGATACCAAAAATATTTTCATAAATAGGAGATCTTTTCCATTCCGGATCGAACAATCTACCAAAGATGCTTATAATCATGATACCTAGTAAATTTTCACGAAAAAATCCAAAACCAGCAAATGTAAAAGATTCATTTCGCACCCTCCACCACGGGACGTAATCGTCGTTAGACTTGGCAACCCTACGAGAGTCAGATAGGTATCCCCGCAAGTAAAAAAAAAATAGACAAACAGTAAACATTACTAGTTTTGTTAATTTTTGAACTTAAAAGCCATTATCTGGAAACATTTTTCATAATCTTTTGTCTATGTCCATAGTAATCGCATTATGGATCAGGGAGATGTAGGGATTGACACGTCTTACACATATTATCTGTGTTTTAGGATGGAGAGGACATACTGTTTTTATTGCTTTGAAGAAATTCATTAACCCATAAATTAATAAATGATTACTAGAGGAGAGATGAGGAATTGGATGGAATGTATGTATGTATGATATTATTATTGAGACAGGGCGGTACTCAAACTTCCAAAGGGCTATAACTTTGTTACTTTAATTTTACCAGAAAAATGGTAAAAGAAAAAAACATTTCTTTTGATCAGATCTACTCACTGTTAAAATAAATGACTCAACTTCGAAGTCACCCTGTATACAGGGCTCGTGTTTGGCAACAACGGATATAATCCGCCTTATCGGTTCATCGCATCGGAAACAAAAAAGCGAAAGAATTTGGAACGATGTTTTCACAATTATTTTATTCAGTTGTATACATACAGTCAGTGTCAGTCGGTAACGCGCGTGAATAGTGGTGTCTGTTGCGTGGCTCAAACGAAATAAAAAATGGCACATGTTTATGCGGATCGGTTTCCCAATCGAGTGCAACCAACCCCTCGTGCCTTTGTTAATGTAGTACAACGGGCTCGTGAATCAGGTGACTTAAGACCTCACAGGGGACCTCATGATCAAATACAGGTCCGCACTGAAATACTTTATAAAACAAGGTAAATATTTTTTTTAATTTTTTTTTTTATTTTTACACACATATTTTGGTTCATCTTCCTTCTACAATCATTATCTGAAAATTAATGACTCAACTTCAAAGTCGACCTGTATATATTTATTATCTTCCAAAATCATTAACTAATATACAGAATTTATTTATTTATACATAATATGCATAGAAAAGGTTTCTTATCAAAGAAGCCTACTCAAGTTTTGGTTGCACCAGCGAAATAAAACGAGTTTTTGGTGCTGCCTCGTTTGAAAAAACGGTAGTTACGCGTTATAAAACCTCGAATCCTATTGTTCATAATATCTGCTTTACGTTGAATATTTAAGTACTTGCGTTTTTGTTTGCTTATTTAATTTATCCCTGTTAATTTAAAATAACTGAGCAACACACATCGTAGCACAGTATTTCTGGCTTGGCGTACTTGAGTATACTCAATACTTCACTATACTTTCCCGAGAAATCTATGTACGCCAATGTATTGGTTTTTCACTTTGGTAGGCAAATTAGCCAAAAATATGCTCTGGAGCTGCACTATTGCAATGTAAACAAAGGCTTGGCTCCTAACCTGTTCAAATCCGTTGGTGTCGGCCCAAACTAAAGCTAAGGCCGAAATTTCGGTTTCAGTTAAAAAACTAGTTTTGGTCAGATACTAGTCGAAACCCCATGATCACGCCATTGAAAATAACGACCTCAGGGTAGAGCGAACGAGAACGAATGGAGCATTTCGACATAATTTACAGCGACGTGTAAATATTTTCAGCGTAAAATTGCCGCCGAATACGCTCTTCCCGCATCTTACCCACCCTGCTACCCTTCTTAAAATAAACTAAAATGTTTCCAATTCTCGCAGAGAAATCATCGAGAATTATGCATAATTCATGGTGGTGATGAGGGACCGATCAAATAGTATGATGAAAATTACGAACTGGTTATACCTGGTGACACAGGACTGGAGCAGTAGACATAATTTTGTATATTTAGAATGAAAAAAATGGCAGTCAAGTATGTTGACTCTGCACTTACCACGTAACAACCTTATCAGCACAAACTAGATTCTCTAAGGAAAAAGTCAGTTAAACAGGTCCATACATTAGTCATTCCCTGTCCTACCGGTAGTGCATCTAGAAACTTCGCCTCTTCCCGATACCTAAGTGCGGCCAGAGTATAGAAAACACTATGCTGTTGCTCCGCAGAAATATGTGTGATTCCATAACAGGACACTCATCACGGTCTGCGCATGATGCCAGCAGCAACCGCGATCGATAGGTACGCGATCTGTCTCCCGAGAATACTTTTTTTTCAGAGCTAATGAAAAGAGAAATCTATGACATGTTAGATTGCATATAAAAGTACCAGCATCAAGAAATTGAGATAAACTCTCCTCACTCTCTTACAACTCCACCCTCAAGTTTTTTACCTCTAAATTTGTTTTAAAACATGATCAGGATCCTCTGAAGTTTGATCGATTTTCATTTTTTTCATATTTTTTTCTGCCGCCACGAAACCGATTCTTAGAAACTACAACGCTTTTGCGTCCTTGGCATAGCAGTAACACAAAAATTTCATCGACTCAAGTTATAGGCGGTTATAAGACTGTCGGCCAGCTAGACGGACGGAGATGAGTGACATGGTTTTTCGTGACGTACATGACATAATATGGGTACAGGTCCAAAAGGGGGCAAGTCGTAATTTTACACAAATAGATCTAGTGGTGCCATCTTGTAGCAATTTTAACGTAGAAGTGGTCAGCGACTTGAACACGTCCTAAAAGCGCTTAGTGCCTGTGAAATTCTAATTCTTATTTACGCATACACCGCCAATAGGGGGCAAGTCTGCATATTCTTACAGGGTACGTTTTAGAACTGATAATAGCTTACAGGAAATAAATATTTGTAGACAAGCTTTTATGTCTGTTCATGGAATAAAGAAAAAAAAATTAGAGATACTACAAAAGTCACTAAAAATGACTGGAGTCGCTCCAAAAGATAAAAGAGGAGAAAATAAAAACCATCCTAGGAAATTTGATGCTCACGTTCTTGCAGCAATATACGAACATATAAAGTCATTTAAAGGCAGGAAAAGCCACTACAGTGTGAAGGATAGTAGAAAATTATACTTACCTGAAGACTTAATCATAAAAAAGATGTTCAAAATGTTTTGCGAGTTGAACCCTTCTATGAAAGTATCTTACGAGTCGTACAGAACAGTCTTTAATACAAAATTCAACATAGCCTTTGTATATCCCAGGACCGATACATGTAGTTCTTGCGATGAGTTTCTTATAAAAATAAAATCTCTTCAGTCTGATGTTTTAAAGAGTATGGATATTGCTCAAAAAGAACGCTTTCAAAAGGAAATACGCCATATTACAATACAAAATGATGTACACAAAAGAAAGGCTGAGGTATTTTACAGTAGAAAAAGGGCTGCGAAGAAACGAAGTCGAACCTCTGTGACTCACGAAGCTATTTGTCTCGATTTTGGACAAAATCTCAGTGTCCCAAACATAACAACAAACGATGTTTACTATAAGAGCCAGCTGAACGTCTATGCCTTTAATATCCACATTTTATCTACAGCAAAAAGTGTGTTTTACATTTACCCGGAAACACTTGGCAAAAAGGGAAGCGACGATGTATGCTCAATGCTGAATGACTTTTTATGGAATTTTCTCGATTTACAAGTAAGATCGCTTGAAATATTCTGCGACTCGTGTGGAGGGCAAAATAAAAATTACACGATGTTTCGTTTTTTGCATTATATTGTCCACAATACACATAGACTTGATTATGTTAAAGTTACTTTTCCTATTCGTGGGCATTCCTACATGGAACCGGACAAAAATATGGGCTTAATAAACTCCCACCAAAGAGCCGAGATTCCTTCAGATTGGGTAGAAATTTTTAGAAGTGCTCGTGCAAAACCATCACCATTTGACGTTGTGGAAATAGATCAATCCTACTTACGAGCATGGACAAATTTTTTTAATACCAAAACGGATTATTTGAAGAAATGTCCTTTCCGTTCCCGTCCTATTCGAGAATTAGAAATACATCAAGAACATCATAGACTAATATATTACCGGGAGTCCTATAATGGAGCATGGGAGTCAGCAATAGTGAAGGGAAAAGAGACTAAGCGAAAGGGACCTGTGCTATTGCAAAATGAATTTGTACTTCCTCCGTATTCTTATTCAGGTATAAAAAATACTTATGTCTCGAAATACTATTTTTTTTAAACAACAAAATTATTTTTAGGTTTGATACCCATCACGGTATTCTGGGGTGACGAAGCAAAACAATTTTTCGATAACCTGCCCAAGAACTGGAAGTATATTTTATATTAATAACTATTGTCTACTTTTTGGCATACCTTGTTTTTTTTGGACTTGGCCCCTTTAGGCCAACAATGTTTGATGGTTTGACCAATTAATGCTTATGTTCTACTTTGTATAAATGACAATATAAGTTTAATTTCTTGTGTGTGTCTCAATAATTACCCAAATAACTAATCTAATTAACAGAATTCATAATAACCATCAAGAATTTATCAATTACTAGTTTTAAAAGTTAAACTCTGTTTTGTACGAAATAAACATTTGGCGACTTAGCTCCTTATGGACCTGTACCCTTCAATTATGTTATTGCAAAGATGATTCTAAATTGTGGAGAGCCGCGGGACTGTAAGCGCGTTCAGATGTAATTAAGGTAATAAGGTAATCGACACCAGAGCCATACAAATACAATGTAGGATTGGCACATACCTGGGTGTTCCTGTTGCCTGGTCTGGAGGAGATCCTCTCTCTTCACAGCTTCTTCTTATTTTCACCACACTTGCCTTAGTGGATATATTGTATCCGGTTTAACTAGGATTCTTTTATCGAGGTTTTGAAGACGACTGTTGCCTTTTCCGATCTTTGCGAATTGACTTCATGAAATCTTCTTCTTCTTGTGCGCATGTTTGACTTGTATGCGCCGTGCCAAAGGGTTTGAATTTGTATGGCTTTTGAGCTCAAATAATAAAGTATGTTTTAGAACTCGCATGAACAACATATAACATACAAAAAAACAAAATATCTCATTTTCGAAATTTTTCGCGATTACAATACTTCCCGACCAGTACGCGTGAGAAGTAAAATTTTGTTTAGTAGGTTGACTCCGCACTTCACACGCAATCTTATCAGTTCTTAAAGCATAATGTTAGACCACTCTGCAAAAAGTTTGCTACGAAAATCTGAAACAGGCAAGTTAAACGTATCAAGTAAGTCAAACAGGCCCATACAATTAGTGCAGACATCTTTTCCGTGCCCTATTGATAGTACCGTCCATCTGACAACATCACCCTCCCTCTATACCTCACTTCTAGATAAATTCATCGGTCAGACTCGGGAGCATGGCAGTGACGGAACAATACTCATGGAGGAGACTGACTTGCCGAAGACATTTCATTCCATGTACGGGGAAATATATGATGTGCGAAATATATCTGATAGGTGCATAGAATTATCGGGGCTAGGAGCGTATAAATATACTACCGCCAAGAAATTCAGATATCTCTTACCCCTACTGCTAATTTTTGCCCCCTCCAAATTTTTGTGTGCAAATAATCAGGAGGTTCTGAAGCGCTAAAAAACTAAGATTGAGCGAATTTTATTATTTTCGTATTTTCTCCTTAGCTCCGCTGCCACTGGACAGATTTTCAAAAATTACAAAGCCTTTTTCGTCTCAGGCATAGTACCCCTTTGTGTAAAAATTTCCAAAAAATCAGCAAGTTTTAGTAGGGATTAGCGGACAGACACACAGACAGACCGTAGGAAATGAGTGACAATGGTTTTTCGTGATGTGCATGTCATATAAAATCCAATAAACCTAATATCTCATTTTATAAATTGTTCGTCATTACAATACTTTCTCTCCAGGGGCGCAGGAAGTAAAATAAATGGCATCAAGTAGGTTGCCTCTACACTTCCTGCGCAATGCTGAGAATTAATTCATGAAGGATACACAAACGAATGAACGAGTACCAAACAGTCCGTTAAATATACCCAACCAGCCTCAAGATCTCTCCGTCAAATTTTTGGCAGCAAATAGCATCAAAGTATTCAAAACAAAACACTGTAAAATATGAAGTGACAGCTTGCCATTGAAATCTTTTCAGTTTATTAAATATTATGAAATTATGTAAAACTGAGCCAAATTTTTAAAAATGCTTGATGTCTGAGTAAAATCTATTTTTTCAGATTAGCTGAAGATTTTTCCATGTTTACTGCAACTTTTGTAATCCATATGTGATTATATCACCTACTGTGTGCTTATAGTTTATCCTATATTTGCAATCTTGCACTTCCAAACCCTTACATGAAAAAGCCTTTTCACTCAAATTTTTGTTAGGTGTTGCATTTCAACACATTCATACACTTCTTTTCAGTTCCTCAACGATATTTTAACCCGACTGGTCCGAAACTGTTCAACAGTTTCAACATTCATACATACAATTGCAGTTGCAGTTCTTTGTTTTAATTTCAGAGTATAATCAGTCGCACCATCGGTGATGGGACATTCAACATAACCACGTATTTAGGGGTTCGTGCAGATTTAACGTGTACACGACGTCATCATTAGGCGCTCATCTGGCGATGTCCGATTGCATTCAGGTGCCTTCTGCAGGTACCTCTTCACCACGGTCAGGAGTTGATACCAGCGCGGCTCTCGTTTTTATTGCTCTAGGCATGGCCATCCTCAATTAATCGCACAAAAAACAAGTCCAAGGCAGAAAAACATACCCGAAGACGAACACCAAAACAAATCTCTACCGCAAATTCGTCAACAACTCAAACAAAAACAACAGATGATTCACCGCCTGGCTTTGACCGTAAATCGTCGTGGAACACGAGACACCACATAATTATTATAATTACGTCAATACGAGCATAGAACAGTATAGAAAGGGCTATCCAAGGGTAAGACGAGTTCCGAACCACCCGAATCATGTCAAAAAATGGCTGTAACGTCACCAAAACGTTGACCACTACTGGAAATCACTACAGTATATTCAGATAAGAGATAGACCGGATGTAAACAAAAGGTTCGGGTGATTTTCACGCTAACGCCGCCGTCTCGACGTAAAACAGGAGCCCTCATTTGTCAATTCGCAATTAAATGCCTATGCCGAGCGGCAGAGCAGTCGTATCAAGGCAGAGTCACATTCAGGTTCAGACGTGTTACGTATGTCGTGTGCATCATTGCAATTTGATATTTCTTTGGACGTTTTCGTTTGTTATCTTATTAAGTTGTTGAGTTTGTCGTTGTTATTGTTATACCTTGTTATTGATTGTTATTGTTATCAACTGCTTGCGCAAAATGCCCAGTAGTACAGATACTGCCGATGAAGTTGTAAACTCCTGTAGTCCACCTAGGAAACGCTCTAAAAAAAGACACCTGAGTGCAGAAATGAAAGAGGTCATTTTGAATATATACAAGATCGAGCGCGAGGAGAACGAGGCATCAACCATCAAAGAAATTGTTGTGAAGGTTTCTCACAAAGTTGGGGTGTGTCGCGCATTAGTGTTTAATGTGTTAAGACAATACAAAAAAAATCACACCTTTTCTGAGCCAATGACCAGTAAACATCGCAAAAGTATTGTTAAATCATTGGATGAAGCTGATAAGCATGCGATTAGGAGGAAAGTGCATGAATTCATCTTTATGAATGAAATACCTACTATAGATAAAGTACTGCAGGAGGTAAATGGAGATACAACGTTGCCAAACTTCAAACGATCAACTTTCCATGCGTTACTGAAGCATTTAAATTTCAAGTGGAAAAAACGGGGTCGTAATAGTTTACTACTGGATAGAGAAGAAATTGTGCTATGGAGGAGGGATTATTTAACAAAAATTGGGAAATATAGAAATCAAAATAGGAAGATTTATTACCTTGATGAAACGAGGGTAAACGCAGGACACACTACAAGTAAAGTATGGGTTGATGATTCTGTAACTTCATCCAGGAGGGCCTTTCTAGATGGACTGTCTACCGGATTAAAAAATCCAGCAGGTAAATACGAGTAATAGACAACAATCGGATGTTTTTCAAACCTTGAGAACAAGGCTCTAAACATTAATTCCAGGAGGCAGATAAAACATATTACAAGTAACAAAACTTTTATAACTTTCGATAAAATGCGTGGATGTTTTATTGTCATTTTCATTTGTCAGAACTTTTTTAAGCCATGTTTTTATGTGTTTTCGATATTTCAATAATTTTTTAATATAATCTTAAAATATGTCGAATATTATAAATTTAAAAAAAGTTACTAAGTTTTATATTGTGTACCGTTCCTAATATTTCTAATCATTTTAATTCATACTTTAAGCTTTATAAAGTTATAATTTGTTAATATTAATATTTGCGCGTATTTCAGGTTCCTGATCATTCATTTTTTAAAGGTTTATAACTTTAAATTAAATTGTGAAGCGCTGAGTAATCATACGACGTTCAATATTCTTTCTTTCAATATGACTAAATAATCCCAATTATAGCAATCTGATACTCATGTCTCAATGTTTTTTCGCTGAATGTGATGAAAACATTTGAAAAAGGGTCGCTTATTGAAATAAATCTACACCAGTTAGTACTTCGATTTCCAGGTAAAGGGAAAAGGCTCATTATCTGCCATATTGGCAGTGAGGATGGATTTGTTGTTGACGGTCTGTGGTGCTTTGAGTCTAAGAAAACTGGAGATTACCACGAGGAAATGAATGGCGAATCGTTTGAACAGTGGTTTTCAAAAATTTTACCGAACTTAGAGGAAAACGCAGTAATTGTGTTGGATAATGCGCCTTATCATTCTCGAAGAATGGAGAAGGTCCCAACAACGGCTTCAAGGAAAGTTGATGTTCAAAATTGGCTCCGCTCGAAAAATATCAACTTTGAAGAAGCAATGCTGAAAGTACAATTATTAAGAATTGTTAAGGATCACAATGCGGAATATCAAAAATACGCCATTGACGAAATGACAGCAAGTCAAAATAAAACTGTGCTCCGTTTCCCTCCATACCATTGCGAGCTCAATCCCATTGAGCTCATATGGGCAGAGGTTAAAAATTATATAGCTAAGCACAATACAACTTTTAAATTTTGTGACCTCAAAGGACTTTTCAAAGAAGCACTAGAATTAATAACAGCGCAAAAATGGGAAAACTGTATTAAGCACGTGAAAGACAAAGTTGAAAAGAGAATGTGGGAACTGGACAATATTTTAGAGGAACAAGTCGAGCCATTCATTATTGACGTTGGTGCTTCAGGCAGTAGCGATGATGAAAGCTCATCAAGCTCATCTTTCCA